ATACTCACATCAGCTAATAGTCAATGCTTCATTTGTTCATTGTTTCATTGCTCTTCTCGACCAGCAGAGACAGATGTGAGCATGGCTGGGAACTCAACCACCGGCGTGACAAACTCCTTAGCACACCAGTCGGGAGGCTCACCATCCCCCTCGTCCTCCCCGCCTCTCTCTGTGTCCACCCTGGGACCCCAGGTGATACCACGCAGACACGCACCGGCCGACGTTATCGCCAGGCAGGGCTCCTTCAGAGGCTTCCCGGCCCTCAGTCAGAAAACATCTCCATTCAAACGACAGCTGTCACTGCGCATGAATGAGCTTCCCTCCACCATGCAGCGCAAGTCCGACTTCCCCATGAAGAACACAGGTGAGTTCGGGATCCTGACCAACTGTCTGTGTCCTCAGCTCCTTTGTCTTTCTGCATGACCTGCTGAAGACCTTCAAGCACAACTGTCTGTATTTGCAAGAATCCACCCTAAAGAAAATCACAAGGTTACTTCTTATTGAGTTTTTGTGATTACTAATTATTCATTATTGTTGTTGAACAAGAATTACATTCAACAAAAAATACATAAAGATGAGTCTTCTACTTTTCTTCTGATAACTTTTCTGTGTCCTCATTGAAATGAATGGAGAAGAGGAAATGCTTTGAAACTTTGTGCCTAAATAGAGGAACTCAAACTTGCTGAAAAACCCGAGAAACTTTCTTTAAGTTATTGACTTTTATTTCTGCTATTTTATTTATGTTATATTAATGTGCTTGTCTGTTGTCTGAGAAAGAGGACAAGAGATGTCTTATATTGTACTTTGCAATATATGTTCGTAAAGGAAAATATCTAAATGTGTTTCCCCTCCAGTCCCTGAGGTGGAAGGAGAAGGCGACAGCATCAGTTCGCTGTGCACTCAGATCACGTCAGCTTTCAGCGGACCCCCAGAGGACCCCTTCTCCTCAGCACCAATGCCCAAACCAGCTTCATCTCCACAGTCTCCTGTAGCACCAGGTAACACCGACAAAACCTCTTCTAAAACCCCTAATGTAATGCGTATAATGTGAAGTTTTAAATAGATCAGTCATATTTTAGATGCTCTGTTATTAACTGTCAGGAGGTTTCAATAAATGAGTTCACAGGGCTAGAAATAGCTAATTATGTAGCATTAATTGAAAACTGACAATCATACTACTGACCCAAACAATTAAAGCAACAGTTTAGCTTTTAGATAGAGCTTCTAAAAATAAAACGTTAGAGACCTTAACTTAGACTGACTGTAATGCAGAGCACGACTTCCTCATTCTGTAGGGAATGAGGAAGCACACACTAATAGATTGGTTGTTCAAAAGACCGCCAAAAGTTATGTGGCCAACTTCTCTGGCCAACCGTCTTTACCCACATTCTGGCTGAATTTCTTTGCCATTCAGCTCTGCAGGAAATGAATAGTTCTTCTAGTGATGATTGTGTTGCTTGCCATTTTAATTTTCACTTGTGTGCCTGCTAATATTTCCTCATAATTACGTTTGTAACATTTACATTATGTGTGATTAACACTTGTTGAGACTGCTAATTAACTGCACGGTAATATTGTGCATGTCTAACAAAAATATCAGTTCACATCACACACACACACACACACACACACACACACACACACAACCTTGCTTGTACTAGCTCCTGTCTCTTATCTGCTGTAGTGAACGGCACTGCTGCCTTCTCTGTTCCTGTTGCTGCTACCCCTAACCCCCCAGTTCTGCCCCCCGCTCTGCCTGCTCGAGACACTAACCCCTGGGCTAAGACCCCAGCAGGGGCACCAGCCTCAGCACAGCCAGGTAAGTAGAACTTCAGAGAGGCTAAATTGACAAGTTTGCATGTCACAGGGTGCACTGAGAGTGTAATGTTACAGTTTACCTTTGAATTATAGTAAAAGTTGAAGGTCCTATTATGCTTGCATCATGCTGGCTGTAGACTGATATTTAAAGAACAGAGTGGCATTGATTTTCTCATTTAACTCTCCACCAGAAAACTAATAAGCATTGCTATTCCTTTCAACCAACAGTAGCTATAGACTGGGATGATGAGCTGTTACTTCAGTATTTCTCTCTGTCTCACTGATATACTGTGTCTGCTGTTTCTGTGTACCAACAGGAAGTAACTGGTCATCTCCAACTCCGGTGATAGTGGTCCCCCCGACATCCTCCCCAGTCATGCCCTCCCACAAACGCACACCATCAGAAGCAGACCGGTGGTTAGAAGAAGTCACCAAGTCTGTCCGAGCCCCGCAGCCCAATCCAATCATGGCAGCAGCCACGCCTCCCACCCAGCCGTTCGCTGCCCCCGTGCCGATGCCCGTGGCGTCTGTTCCCTCTGTTCCCCCGGTGGCCTTCATGTCCTCTCTGCCCTCAGCCGTGCCCATGTTGCCCCCTCGCCAGCCCGCCTTCCACGCTCAGGCTCCATCCTCCTACCCGATGCCGAATGGTCTGCCGTTCCCTCAGCCCAGCGTGCCCGTGGTCGGCATCACTCCTTCACAGATGGTGGCTAATGTGTTCGGCTCAGCCACGCAACCCCAGCCATTCCCGGTCCCGGCCTCCACAACACCCCAGCATGATGCCCAGGCTGTCTGCAACGTCAGCCCATTCATCAAACCCCCACAGTCCACCGCAGTGAACCCGGCCCCCCTCCAGCCATCCAATGGTAGTGTGACCTTTAATGGGGCAGACAGCTGGGCTGCTCCATCCCAACTCGCTCCATCCTCCCCAGCCACCCTGCCGCCCCCGCAGCCGCAGGAAGATGCCTTTGAGGCCCAGTGGGCGGCCCTGGAGGGCCGCTCACGTCAACGCACCACACCTTCCCCGACAAATCCCTTCTCCACTGAGCTGCACAAGACCTTTGAGATCCAGCTCTGAAAACGGTTCGAGATACGGAGGACTGGACAATAAGGAGGCCGTTTTAGTTGAGGAAGCAGATGGGTGATTAACTAAAGAAGAGAATGGGCTGTCCTCTTGTCTCTCTTCATCTCGGTTTCAGTGGACATGCTCAGCAGGGCCGAAAAGAGGGGAGGCAGTGGAGAGCAACAGGTGAATCAGCAGGGAGCAGAACTCTGCACAGCAGTGAGGGGAGAAAAAAAACAAAACAGGTTGCTGTTAACAAGGGTGCAGCTCCCCAGGCATTTCATTAGCATCGTACGTATTGTTTTGTTTGTGCTGTGGAGAGCAAAGTCGTCATTACCCTGTGGAATATCTGTGCCGAGCCACACCCAGCCCCCTGTCAGCCCCCCAGGTATGGTGGCTCCCGTCCCCTGCCTGCCTTTGCTCAGTCCAGCTCCCAGTGCCCCCTGTTGACAGGACGAGACCTCCCTCACCTGGCAGAGGAACTGCAGCACTGAGAGAACTCAGCTTCCAGAGGAGAAGTTCTGATTAATAACTTCCCAATCAGAAGAATAGAGTGAGACAATGCCAAAATCTTTATTTTTATGCATTAAGTATATTTTAAATAGCTTTGGAATCTAACAGAAGAGTTGTAAGTAATCGTGCCAAAGGCACAGGCTAGCTACAATGAGACAAGTTCATGTTCGTGTATACAAGAAATGACCGTATATATTATACATAAATATATATATATATATCTATAAAGAATCTATACTGTACACACAGCTCACAGCAGTGCTAATTTTTAATGTGATGTAAAGAGATTTTGTGAAGGGACAGCTGCTTTACTTTTGTGTTGTTGTTTTTTTTTTGTTTGTTTTATTTTTGAAGAAAAATCTCTTTATTTCCGTCTGTTGCATCCTGTGATTGGATGTGAAGCATCTCACTGTAAATAGGGTGTCATTGCAGCAACAATCAATGTGGACCTAGCAATGGTGGTGGTGCCCAACTGGTTGCCTCTCTTACCTGTGCTCAGTTTTTAATAGTTTAGTACACATCAGTACTTAACATTTTACTTCTTCTGTCTTCATTGTCATTCTTTTTTGTTTGTGTGGTAACGATCTTGTTATTATTTTTTTTTTTATTATTTAACTCGGTAGGTTGTGTCATCTCCTGTTTCTCCACCTCTTATATTATTTTTTTAAGTGGTTGATTTCTAAATTTTTATTTTGCACAAGCACTAAAAGTAGATGATTTGACCTCACAGGTGACCTTGATCAACATGGGTTAGTCAGTTGTGGTGCTGCAGTAGCTGAGAGGCTGCATGCTGACCTGCCCTGACCTCCGTTAGCCTGCTGTGGTTCTGACGCTCAGCAGAAAACTACAGGGAGATAAAATGGTTTCATCTCTCACTGTCTGATTTCTCTCTGTTGTGTTTTTATTTTTTTAAATCAAACCTGTGAATATGATCTATTATCTGATCTATTTTTCCATTTTGTAATTATTTCATTACTTTATTCCACTTCTTCGGAGAAATATTGAAGCTAAAAGATTGAATAAATTGATGGTGGTAGAGGAAAAAAAAAAGTGGTCTGTGTTCTTGAGTGAATACTTGAATGTATATAATGAATATTGAAAGCTGTTAACATTGATAATGAAACAGATACATGTCAGTGCTCGACTATTTTCATATGTTTATCAAACAGAAAATGCCATTCACTAGTTACAGCTTCTCAAATGTTTTAGATCATCGTTAACTGGATATTATTTGGGTTTTGGTCAGACAAAACGAGCATTTGAAGATATCATTGGTGACTTTTATGGACATTTTTTCATTATTCTATTTCATTTCATATACTGGACATTAAGAAAATAAATAATCTGTAATAGAAACAGATGCAGTCCCAGTATCAGTATGCACAATATACTTTAAAAGTACTGAATGGATATCAGTGAAAATAAATAACAAGGGTCCAGGAAACATTAAGGCTGATCTTTTGCACTTAAACACACAATAAGTGAAATATGCATGTAGGATGCAATTATTTTAGACAAATGAGATTATAAAAACAATATTTATTGGCGTTTACCTGCAGTTAGTCCGTCCGTCCACCAGGTGGCGCTGACTGGAGAGCTGCGTCCCGGTGCAGCAGCGTCGTTATAAATACAGCCCGGAAGACATGGATCAGTTTTGGTAAAGAAAACCAAGTGTACATGTGTGTGTGAGAAACTGGCGCTGTGTTGGCTGAAGACGTAAAGGTAAGCCTCAGACTTTCCACATGCTGGTGCACGCAGGTCGCTGCCACCCCGCTGTCAGGCAGTGAGTTTGTCCGATTACAGCTCAAGGACGCCGGGGAGCTCCAGCAGGCTGCAGCGGTAACGAGCTAACGAGCTAACCGGCTAGCCCTAACAGAGGTTTAACTTCGAGAAAAGACAAAAAAAAAAACAAAACGCAGATTTGTCAGTCTGGCTTTTTGCAAACAATGTGCATTGAAGGCGGGAAATAGTTTTATAGTTTGACGCGTTTGTGCCAGCAGAAGTTGTGCTGCTAGCTGTAGCTCGGTGCTGACGCTTTTTAATAAACAACTCCAGTGTAAACGTTGACCCAGTTTGACCTATGACCCGTCTGTGACCTAATTAGGCTCTTACTTTACCTAACAGCAGTTTATCTCGTGCTCTTTTAACACGGAGCCTCCCCACAGTATGTGTGTGTTTTTAGGTTTAGGGCCGCAGGTGTGGAGAGGAACGATCACCTGACTCAGTGTGAGAGCAGAAACTGAACAGGTGAGTCAGTCTGCACAGCACTGACTCCTCCACCTGGCAATATCTGCTCCACCCTTTGCTCTTTCCCATGCAGTTAATCATCCGCAGCTCCTAAAGATAGCCCAGCCAGTAGGGCGATAACTTGTAGATGATGGATTGATAAGATGTTCATATCTCCCCCCCTCCCTCCACAGAGAGAGTGCAGTGCTTGTCCAGATCACAGAAACAAAGTCAGGTTTACATGGGAGCACACTGACACAGGAAAGGTAAAGAAAAACATCCCACATCTTTTTATAAACACTTTATAGGACATTGACACTGAGCTTGCCTTCTGTTGTTATTTGACTTCAGGTTTTTTTTTTCTTTCAGCCAGCCGGAGATCACTACAAGTCAGCATGTCTCACCGAGGGCCTTTAACTGCTGTCATAACAACAGTATTAGGGGCAACCTTAGGAGGGCTGCTCATATGGCAGGTTTACAGAACTAAAAGGAAGAGGCTGCCTTCCATTCAGAAGGTAGTCGCTCCCGTGGAAGCTCCACGCGCTGTGGAAGAGGAGTTTGCAGACGTGGCGGCGTACGAGTACGCCCAACCGCCACATCTTCCGGACAAAGAGTTTAAGGCTGTGGAGTGTCAGACCACTCAGCTGCCCCCTCCCGTGCAGATACCGTCTTATGAGCAGCTGCTGGGGGTGAAACCGGTAACGGTGAGCTCTGAAGAGGAATGGCAGCAGCTGTGGCCACTGATGCAAAAGGAGTTGTCAGTCTGCCCTGTGCTGGGGCTTGACTGTGAATGGGTAAAGACCGACGCCGTAAGAAATACCTTTTGCATGTTTTTGTACGTGAAGAGGAAAACTCCACCCTGAGGGATTCTGTATTGTTCCCTGAATGTGGATTTTGGACTTTCTTATCTCACCGATATTCTCAGTTAATGAAGAAAGGAGAAGATGTCAGAGTCAGCATAAAGTCTGGAAGCTAGTAGGCTATTGTAGTCATACAGGGGGGGAAATTAGACAATTATAACTCCTAAAATGCATTAAACATCCAATTTGATAAAGTATACTAGTGTAAGAGTGTATCAGAAGGGTGGAGTTTTCCTTTAAACATCCTCTTCCACATTTTAAATTGCTGGTGTGGGTTTTTTTTTAATTCTGACCCGGCTGCTGTTTTCCGGTTGCAGGTGTCGGTGAAAGGCCGAGCCTCCTCCGTCTCCCTGCTACAGATGGCCACATACTCGGGTCTGTGTGTTCTGGTGAGGCTGCTGGCGTTTCGCGGCGGCCCACAGCCGTTCCCTCTCAGCCTAATGGAAGTCCTCCGAGACCCCCACATTTTGAAAGTTGGCGTCGGTTGCTATGAAGATGGCAAGCGTCTGACACGTGACTACGGTCTGTCGCTGTCGTGTACAGTCGACCTGCGCTACCTTGCCTTAAGACAAAGGTACAGTTTGTTGCTGTTTGATGGCAGTGCTCTTGTTTGTTTATGTGAGTCACATTGTGATCTGTATGTAAATCTCTTCAATTGTCTTTTTTCAGGCTATCTACAGTGAATAATGGTCTGAGTCTGAAGTCTCTGGCAGCAGATCTGTTGAATGTATCTCTAGATAAATCCCTGGAGCTGCGCTGCAGCGACTGGGAGGCAGATCAACTGACGCTGGAGCAGGTAGTGATTTCATTGTATTGCAACACTTCATGTTTTTCATACGTCTCATTTCTCAGATGGTTGTGAAAGTGGGAGTGAGACATTTTGCATGTTCCTGGTTCTAGAAATCAAATGAACTTTCTCCATAGACAACTGTTGGTGGCTGACAGCTGAAGGACTTCCACAGCTCGGATGGCCCTGAAACTCTTTGTTGAATTCATTCAGTACAAAAGATGAAGAACTGCATTACAGAATATTTTGTCCTTTCATAAGAAGTCAAAGATTACTAGCTTGTTGTACAACTACAGAGCTCAGGGTGGACGCTAAAACCTTTTTAAATGATTTAACTTTTAGGTTTTGGATTAAATTTGAATTAATTCAGCAAATATGATTTGTTTTAATTGCAACAACAAAACATTTAATGTCACTACTACACCTCAACAATGGTGGCAGGGGCTTATGGGTATTGTAGTATTTAGAGTTGAAATGATATAAGATTTCAAGGATTGTCATATTATGAGACTCCTGTTTAACCAATGTTATCGTTCCCTTTAGATGACTTACGCTGCCAGAGATGCCCAAGTTTCCATCGCACTCTTCCTCCATCTCCTCGGCCTCCACTCTGAAGCCGGTCCCGCCTCTTCCAGCGGGAGCTCTTACTCTGAGTTGGCCGCCCGCTGCCAGGGCCTGGTGGACGTGCCCTTCAGGGGCCGAGGAGACGGAGATGACAGGGCCGCTGACGGAGAGAGGAGGCGGAGGACGCGGAAACCGCCCACTTATGAGAGCCCGGAGTCTGGAGATCAGCAAGTCCCAGACCCTCGAAAGAATAACAAGAGGAAACCGCTGGGTGTGGGCTATTCTGCCAGGTGATTATGGACTACACAAGAAACCGTTGCTGCCACGACAGCTTAAAATGATCTGCTTATATATTTATTCTCTCCGTTACAGGAAGTCTCCTCTCTATGATAACTGCTTCCTCCATGCTCCAGATAACCAGCCTCTGTGTACCTGCGACAAGAAGAAAGCCAAATGGTACCTAGATAAAGGAATAGGAGGTACACTGGATAACTCCAACATGTGAACATTAAAACACAATGACTTGCTACTTTAAGCTACAACATGCAACTTTTTGCCTTGTTGCAATATCTCCCTCATTCAGTGGGAAAAAGCACACTGTGAACAGCATATTTAATGTAATAACACGCACGTTAAAATGTTCGAATGGTCTTGTCTGCTGCAGCAGCACTTTGTCTTCCTGCAGCGTTGTAATCCTTCACTTCTGCTCTGTGGCTGCTTATAGTTGTTTTGCCCACAGCGGCTGAGTCACAAAGGGTCTCAGAAACACTTGACATGCCTGCCTCAGACAAACAGAGCTGTTAGGCATGTACACACACAGGATAACGAAGTTAAGAAGTTGCATGTGGTCGCTTCGAGCCTAATGTTGATTCATCGGGATGTTATCTGCAAAGTCCTAACAGCTTGTCTACTGCAGCACATCAGCACATGTATTACTCTGTTTCTACACTGGATGTGTTCAGCTTTACCACTGCTGCACTGTAATCACTGTCAGTCAGTGCAGTTATCCAGTTAATTGGAATTAAATAGCACTGACCTACACTTGTGGTTGATGTTACATCAAGAGAAAGCTAAGACACCTTAATCTTAAATAAAATGCACTTGTTAATCTGTGTTGCTCCACTTTGGCTAACTAGTAATATTTATTAATATATCATTGACATTATCTCTGTTTCTGACCCAGTGCTGCAGAGTGAAGATCCTTTCGTCGTGAGGTTGCTGTTTGAGCCGTCAGGACGTCCCGACTCCCAACAGGACTATTATCTCACTGCTAAGGAGAATCTCTGTGTGGTCTGCGGTAAAGCAGATTCCTACATCAGGTTTGACATCTCCTTACTTTTTTGATTAATCTGAAATTAAGGGTGTTCTCTCCTCAAAGCTGGAAACTGTGTACGTTTCTATATTAGACTAGGGATAAAATCTCCAATTATTTCCAATGTTTATTCAACTATTATAGGTTTTTTTTATTTTTTGTCCAAATGCAGAGAGATAAAATAGAGAAAAGCTGCAAATCCTCACATTTCACCAACTTTGAACCAGTGCTTTTATGTTTTGCTTGATAAATGACTTAAAGGATTGATTTAATAAATGACCGCACTATTAAAAACACATTCAATTTGATGCCGTAAGTCATGTTTTTAAAGGTGAATATTTGAATCCCAGACAGATCGGATTAATATCTTCCTTTGGTCCTGCAGGAAAAACATTGTGCCACATGAGTACAGACGGCATTTTCCCACCGAGATGAAGGATCACAACTCCCACGACATCCTGCTGCTCTGCACCAGCTGCCACGCCGCCTCCAACGTGCACGACGGCTTCCTGAAGCAGCAGCTGGCCGAAGAGTTCGCCGCCCCTCAGGGCTGCGAGGACGGGGTTCGCCTGCTGGAGGACTCGGACCGACGGCGGGTGCGATCGGCGGCTCGGGCTCTGCTCACCGCCGGGGACGGACTGCCGGAGCAGCGCCGGGAGGAGCTGCAGGCTTTGATCAAGAGCTTCCTCGACGTGAACGAGGAGAAGGAGCTGACGGACGAGGCGCTGCAGCAGGCTGCCGGGTTGGAGACGAGGTGAGTTTGAAGTGAAGAGTTGGTATCAGTGCAGATATTTGGTCCCACATGAGTTCAAACCAAACTATCTAAACACTTTAGAAACACTAGAAAAAGTTTATTTGAAAGTCTCATTTATCTAACTCAATGACTTGTCCTCCTGTTGTTGAGGTTACATACTTTTATTGTGAAGTATTGAACCTTTTCACCCCTGCGGAATAAATTCTAACTAATGTGATCCAAAACAAAGATGGGTGTGGAACAAAAAATGTCCATGAGCACTGTTGCTGAACAAAGAACAGTGAAATAGTTTATAGTGGGAATAAGGAGAGACTTAGCAGCAGGAGGAATATTGGCAATCAGGAAAAATAAACCTCAAGTGACGCCACATAAAAGTATGTGATGGATGTTTTGTTAACGTTGGCTTGAGCAGCATTTTCTGCTCCGTGTGTCATGACGCTCATAAAACGGTAAAAGCCAAGCACTTAAATGAGAGTTTATGCATTAATTAATATTTATTAATATATGTAGCAACCACGTGTGTAAAACAGGCTTAACATCAGATAAACAATAAAACTGGTAATAAATTCCATCAATAAAAGTTCCTTGGTTTACTTTTACTTGTCACTGACTGTTATTAATGTTTACCAGACTGAAGTTGGTGTTTTACTGTTCCATTCAGCTGGTCAGAGCAGTGTCTCTCTCATAAACTCAAATATCTTTTAAATGTCGCTTTAATGTTAATGCAAGTTAATGTTGGCTGCAACTGGTGAAGCCTGATCGATACTTTAGAAATACCAACAACATTTTGAAAATGAAGCTCATATTAGTCAGTATTTGTTTGAAATGAACGACATTCAACATGTAGGACGATAATTCTTTAAAAGTTAACAGGATTATGAACGTACTGATTGGGACATTTTACAGTTAGAAAACAAACATTTTGGGGACAAACTAAAGGGGATAATGTTTGTAAACCACCTCAAATGTACCTTTTAACATTTCTGTGCTGCACATTGTTTGATATACTTACCCACAATACATCTACAATTAGTTAATGCCAGGTAACAATACTGGTTCAGACAGTTCATAGGTCAAACTCTAGTTCTGCTGGTTTTTTAAAACTTTTTTTGTTGCTGGATATAATTTGAATCTAAAAAATATTAACGAGGATATTGATAGTTTAATTTCTAGTATTAATTTAATTGGTGACAACATAAAAACCGAGAGGTTTGCTCTTTATTTGAGTAAATGTCGAGGCCATACAGACACGGCTGTTCCTCCAAACAGATTTGTGACGTGATCCTCTCTCTCCTCTGTCCAAATATCCGCCATTTCAGCCAGCTGACCGTTTTAAACTGGCTTTGCTCCAAGCTGATTGGCTGTTGAAACAGGTGACATGCCTTGTGTTTTAAAACCAGCCCTTGGAGATCTGATTAGCTTAGTTGCAGGCAGCGTGATCAGCCGGCCTGGGCCAGTTCACACAGTTCCAAACAGTTTTGTCTCGTTGTGAATCTTTGCTTTGAACTGGGCTTTATTCATCAGCTGTGTTGCCGTCTTTATAGAGGCGGTGCGTGCATCGTACTGAATCTGCACTCTTTCTGACTGCTCCTCTCTCCTCCCCTGAAGGATTTTCAACGAGGCGTACGTGCCTCACGGCCTCAAGGTGGTGCGAGCTCACGCCGAGCAGGGCCTGCGGGGCCTGATGGACCTGGAGCGTCACTGGAGGCAGCACTTCCTCACCACCATGCAGCCTCGCCACCTTCCCCCCCTCTGGTCCGTCGACCACAACCACAGCAAGTTCCTCCGAAAATACGGAGCCGACCTGCCGATCAAACTCAACTGACTTTGAGTCTCCGCGAGGACCACAAGCAGCTACAGACCAGGACAGGAACCTGAATGTTCTCATCCGCCGGTCAGAGTGCCGGTTGGGTTTGAAACTTCCATTCTGTCAACTTTACAAGCCAAATAGCTTTGTTTTTTTTTTTTTGAACGGATGAATGAACTGATCTACCAGCCGGGACCGAAACGTTACCACTCTGGCGTTAACGAGGCCGTGACGAGTGTGTGAGCGAACACACTCGATCTGCGGTGGATGACGTTGCACCCGAGTGCCAGTGAGATGCTGCTGGGTTTCCACCTGGATCCTGAATGGACTAAAGGAATTTGAGCAGAGACTCCGCTCGTGGAGAAGATGTCTCCACAACGCCACTGTGGATGTCACATGAATTGCATATGGCCACTTTTTTATCATCAAATATGTATAATTATTTATGAAAAAAGTTAAACTAATGAACTTTAAGAACTGATTTTTAGTAAAAGCTACAGCCTGCTCTTAATTTACCCCTAAATTTACCCCCCCGTCCCCCCTTGCAGGTTAGCAGCTTTTACCGCCATCAGTCTGAGAATAAGTGACTTGCTTTGCAGAGAGAGGATCATTTTAATGACCTTTAAATGATGTGGCGCCCCCACCCTGCTTTTGTTTTCAGTCTATTGTCTGTTTTAAGTCAATAGATGAAGGACGATTTTCCTGGAAGCATCTTGAAATCAAATTACCCTGTTCCCTTTTTGAGAAGATTAGTTTGGTCTCAAGGTGCCTTTGGGCGTGAATGTGTTACATTTCAAGGGTTTTTTTTCTTTTTGCTGCAGGGGGAGACGAACACTAACCACCGTAAAGTTGGCCGGTTCAGTCGATCATTTCACATCCCTGACGTTTATGTCCTGCTGCTGCTTCCTCCGGACGGGTGGGACAACCTCCATGGCTCATGTTTTAATGTGCCTCTTAATCCCCCAAACCCCGCCCCGGAGTCCCAGCGTCAGGCCATGACCTCGTTACAGTTTACAGATGTTTCACTACGACGTCGTTTTTACAGAATCCAAACTCCACAGTGAAGAGAAGTTGCCAACTTTAATGTGATTTTGACAATAACCTTAAAGCTAAAAAAAAAAAAAAAAAAACCCTTTTGCAAGGCATATTTATCTTTGAGTGTGATGAATTAATTTACAATACAGCTGCTTTGTCTTTATTCGTATTATGTATGTAAGCCCTGGAAGCTGTTTAGTTTTTTTTCCCTAAATTGTGAATGGAAAAATAAAAATCATGTTTGTATTAAATCTTCTGTGACTTGTTTTTGTTGGTTGAACTCATTCACATACAGACACGAACACATTCACTGTTTGTTTTTTTTTATTTCTTACAAAATCACAGTTTAATAAATAGTCTGTAAAAATGAGTACAAAAGCGGTTTTCTTAACATTTCATATATGAATCACTCGTGACTTTCAGGTCAAAGGAGTCTTCAGTTGGATTTTTTTTGTCAGGAATGACTTTTTTTTTTTTACAATCTAGTTTTGCTGAATTAAGGCCTCTTGATTTTGGCATCAGAACAATCTGTCAGTCAAATGTTTTGTATCTGAAGTTGAATTAGTGTAGAGTTATGAGCTCCCCTGGTTTCACAGTTCAGTCAGAAAAAACAAAAGAGGAATAAATAAAACACCTTTTACAAATAAATACCAAAATGGCTCAACATGCAGATGTAATAATCCCTTTGTCCTAAAATGCTGACAAAACTTAGCACATTTCTAACGCTCAGTGTTGTGACACTGCAGACGTGATTCAACAATAACAATGGCACATGAGGCTGCTTCATTGAAAGGGATTCCACCAAAGCTGACTAACTTTTCTTTCATCTTTGAGCATCTTTGAATAACTAAAGAGGAGGAATACGGGCAGACGTCAGGAAATACTTTAAACTCTTGAACATAAAAACATTTTGGTGGAATTTTCCCTTTTAAGAAGTCCAGCGGTGACGAGGAGTGCAATCCTGTGTTGTGAAAGACACTCTGACATCTTTACTGCATTACAGTGAAACCTCTGAGGGTGGAAACACACCTGAAGACTTCAGACTGGATTCATTTTGGCACAAATTCTGTGAAAGGAACATACAACTGATTCGCTTTCTCGCAGACGGTTGAGATTGATACCACTCTTCTGTCTGCTCAATAGGAATCCAACGTTACCGCCAGTAGGTGCTGTGCTTAGCTCAGAATAAAGAAGTGGAAACGGCTAACCTGCTATCAAAAGGGAAACTAAACAGTATTTTATATCATGTTTGTTTAAATCTGTAGAAAAAAAGTGCATGCTGGACTATTTCTTTAAGTCCTGTCATCTCTGCGCGGTTGCCAGGCAACCATCGAAAAACTTGAACCTGCGACGTTTTTTGGCCACTTGGGGGCAGCGGAAACGAGGTGTGAACGTGAACATATTATCACCTTTAAAAGCTGAAGGTGAACTTATCAGCAGATAGTTGCTGAAAGGCAGAATGAGTTAGAATTTCCTAAAAAAGCTCGTCTCGTTCCTGAAAAACAATCTCGGGCAAACATTTTCACACAATAACGTATTTACTCAAATGGGCCGGTACTCGCACTTCTTATTTTTGTCCTCCGTACGGCACGCCGCCGCCTCCTTGAGTCTACGTACGCACCCATAAACACCTGTGTACAAGTGATTAGCTAGTGTTAGGTTAAGTAAGGGCGGCGTGCGCTTCTGGCGTCGCCGAGCCGGTTAGGAGGAACTTTGAATGTTGTGTTTACAATCTGCAACCGATGAATCCGACTCATTCTGCCTTTACATGTGTTAACTGGTGAGCTTCAGAAGTGCTGGTACACAGATTATACCTTTGGACGACGCCAGGCTAGCCGTTTCCCCCAATTTCCAGTCCTTATGCTAAGCTAAACTAACTGGCTGCAGCTTTGTATTTAACATACAGACATTAAAGTGGTATCAAAGCGTATTTCCCCCCCAAAGACATCAAACTAGTCCTGTATGAATCCTCTAGTGTGTGTGTCCACCCAAACTACCGCAGAGGGTTTCAACACTACATTACTGCATATTTTCAACTCCTTTTGTTCGTTCCAACAAAAGACAATTTTCACATATTAAAAAAAAAACAACAAAAAAATGACAATCAATTCAAGAAATGAGAAGGCCTGTTTGATTTAGCCCCAAATCTCTGGAAGTTATTTTTTTGTCTTTTTGAAGGGACAGGTTACTTTCACATTTCAGAACACCAGATGTTACACGATTTAAAAACATAACATTAATTATCTTTTCTTTGCAGATTCCATTTCCTTAAAAAGGTACACTGAATTAACAATAAGGCATATTCTAAACATTTCCAATTCACAAGTCAACACCTTGACCCCTAACAGTATCTCCAAAAGCTAAAATTTTTGAAGCACATTTTCAATTTATATTACAAAAAAAAGTTTTGCAGCTTTAACATTTTGACCTTCAAGGTAAAATCCATCTACAAAGAATATTTTGCACAAGTTTCATGAGGGCGAGTCGTACAACCGATACAAAATGACCTCATACTCCCTCGCCTATTTTCATATATGAACAGGATTCAACATTTTCACACAGACCAATAAGATTGTCACATTAACGTAAGATGTTTGCAAAAAAACTCATATTGCTCCACGATGGCTGCGTGAAAAGAAAATCTTCGGCTTAGTACAGCGGGCTTCGGACCAATAATTTAATAAATAAAGAGAATTCTGAAAATGTGAAGCGGATGATTCCTCTAGTTTTTTTGTTGTTGTTTTTTTTTTTTTTTTTGGTCAAAGGCTGTTTGATGATGCAGAGAGGCTCAAGTTTCTGTACAGTGTGTTGTGGAAAACAACTGCAGTTTTGGTGTTTTTTTTTTTTCTCAAACTGGACATTTGCACGATCATCTATGCCGTTAAGTGACCCTCAAACCCTCCAAGCATGTTTGAAACACGGTTTCTAAGCAGGCTTCGATGACAAAATAAGCTTGTCTCGTTCCTGAAAAACGATCTCTGTTTTCATCCAGTGACGGGCAAAGATCTCCCCCTCCTCCTCCTCCTCTTCCTCACTGCACCACCACTGCTCCTAACAACCCTAACTCATTATTGCTTGCATGTTAATACGTAAAGTGAGAGAAACCGATCTCTGAAAACTAGAAATATTTCACAGTCAGACTCCAGCATGAATGACAACAAGGGTCCGGACTTAAAACGAACGTGGGGAGGAAAAAAACAAACAAAAACAAAAAGCACGACTCTGCCTAATTATTTTGTGTTCCCTTCGGGTTCTTTCTGCTTTAACAAGGACGGACTCCAGTTTGTAGGAAGAGACACAACATGGACGTTTGCTGGTGTATTCAGGATGTAGCAAGTCACAAATTCTTTGGAGTTTCATTCGATAAGCCGAGATGATGGAGAGCCTGCGGGGTTTTCATGTACTGTCCCGTCGCAGGATGCAATGTTTTCTCACACACACACACACACACACACACACACACACACACACACACACACACACACACCCCAATTAAAATAAAGACGCGCACACACGCTCGGTCACACACTCACTGCCTTTCTCAATGCAACTCATCTGAAAACACAATTGGCACAGATTATCAAAATAAATACCCTGGAAGCTTGGCACTATGCAAAAGAAACTTCACATTTTTGAAAGAAATCTTATAAAAAACTATTGAATAATCTCAGTCTACTCCACGTTTTCGTTATCCTCACTATTACTTATATACTATATGCTGATGAAGGTTACACCAGTGTCGTAAACCTCTGAATGACTTAACTACCACTGAAACAATATAGCTCCTATTCAAATAGATTTTTTTTTCCACAAACGTACATCAAAATGAAGTATCTAACATCTATCGGACTATAGATAGTGCTGTTGTCTGGTATGCATCTCTTTATAGTGCCTCTTAATTTTTTTCCCCCTCTTCTTTCAAACAATCAGTTCCTTTAAAGTAATCTCTGAAACCCAGAAACAAAAGTTCTGGGAACAGATAAGAAGTCAAGTACACCTTCCTTTGTTTCATCCCACCTCAGACAGATGTTTCTGTATCCGCGTGGACGTCTGTCGGGGCCCGTTAACCTCACAGGTGTCCCTCCAGGATGCTGGTGACAGCCTGGTCCAGTGAAGGGCCTGACGTGGCCCTGGTCGGGGCTGCAGAGGGGCCCTGCAGGCGCTGAAGCTCCAGGATGCTGTCAATGGCACTCTGTAGATGTTCACTGAGCATGTTGTCCTCTTGGAGGGGGGGAGGCGGCGGGCTGAACCGCTGCTCCGGCCGAGGCGACGCATCCAACCTGTAGCATTTCAGTTTTGGGGCGCTGACATCTCTGTGAGGCAACTCGAAGCAACCGGCCTGTGGCTCTGGCATAGAAAGAGGATTTGGGGCTTTTATTTTGGAATTGGGTGCAGTCTGTGGGACTTCCTCCGCAGTGTTACAGGGCAGAGGTCCGTTGGAGATCTCCTCGTCGTGCTGAGGGCGCTGGGGTGCTCCGTTGGGTGCCTGAGGGTGGCGTTCGGTCACAGCTCCGCCGCCGTTGGTCAGCTGCCCCGTGTGGTCCCTCTTGAGTCCCGGGTCGCAGGCGGAGTTGTGAACCACTTTGCGGGAGCCAGACTCCTGCTTGATGGTGAGCCTGAGAGCCCCGCGGGAGCTGGAGCGGTACGTCTTCAGTCCCGGGGGCCGGTCGGACAGTCTGGTCCAGGCTGGTGGAGAGGAGGGGCTGCCAGTGGAGCACAGGTGGGAGGGGCCGGAGGAGTGGGTGCCATGGGGGGAAGACGCTGACGTAGCCAAGGCCATCATAAATGACTCTGGAAGAAAGAATGAGCATGAGATTGATGATCAGACATTTTGAGTTTCTTGAAGCCACAGAGAACGTCGTCACCAGTTTTTAAAAGGTCAGTTCACCCAAAATCACCTGGAACAAGATCACAGTCCTCCATGGACTTAAAGAACTGAACTCAACCTTTAAAGAGGGAGTTATGCCGGTACAGTTACAGAAATTAAAAGGTCTACTATTTTATTAGTAGTTTAAATTTATTGTTCCAACTAAAACTGATTTTTCTGCTCTATATTAGCGTGATTATGTAACATATAACTGTCCAGGTACTGTGGATGATAAAAAACACATTTGACATAAATGTCTATTAATATGCATGTTTCTGCAAATAAAATAAATAAATGTAAAGGTTTTGTTATGTTAATATAATGGTTGTATAATAAGAGATTGTTCTATTTTTGTCTCACTGTTTTATATCATATTAGTCCCAGGGTCCAACAGCAGCCGAGCCTGACATTTAACAATTTTTCAAAAGCTTCCATCCCCCTTTTTCCAACTTTTTTTAATTAACGTAACAACCCCGCTTTAATTTGCTCTTCACCTCTCACATGTAATTTTCTCGTCATCATGCAGAGCCTTTCTCAGCACGACCCTGCTCCACATTTACACAGCTTAATTACACATTCACACCTGGGAGCTGCTCCGGAGCAAATATGGAGGTTAAGTGCCACGCTCTGAGGAACAGTGAAATTAGTTTGTAAGAAAAAAAAATAAAAAAGTGTCACTAATTCCCTTTTCCCGTCCATATTTTCTGCCTCTGTCCTGGGAATTGAATCCGCAAAACAGGCAGCCACTCACATTTATGTACACACATGTAATAAAGTAGGTTGTGATGAAGGTTGCGTTTCCCTGCTGGGACACTGACCTGGGTCTCTGCGGACTCTCCGTCTGTCCTCCGCTAAAGCGCATCGCTCCGCCTGGAGGAAGAGACGCTCCAGCATCACCATCTCTGCTGACGGACTCTCCTGCTGTGGAAACCAGTTCACATTGCCCCCGTCACACACACAGCTTTCATCAACAGGGTTTAACCTCCCAGTTATAAAACAATGAGGCCTTTTAAACAGACGATACCTGGTTTTATGGTCAGTAGAGTTTGGACTGAGGTACAGAGAAAGAAAGCAGTGTGTTGTGTCTTTACCTGGGCTTCTCTGACCAGTAGCTGCCTGTATTTGTTGACCATGTCCTTGGTGCGTTTCAGCAGGAAACCGGACACAGTGTCAAACTCCTGGTCCACTGAGAGAAGAGAAACATCATCGTGGTCAGATTTTCCACCCAGAGGGAGTTTGTACACAGTTCTGATTCATAAGAGTGTTTACTACACCAGTATGCATTGTTGGAGAATGTGGAGCTGAAAGGACAAGTAGATTAATCTGCAACTATTTTGATAAGTGATCGTCATCAAAGTCATTTTTTTAAAAGCTAAAATACCAAATATTTCCCTGCTTCCAGCTTCTCAGATGTGAGGATATGCAGCTTTTTAATCACATGTTCACATGTGATTGTAAACTGAATATATTTTGGTTTGGGACAAAACAAGCAGTTTTGATGACATCCATTGTGCTTTAGATAACTGTGTGTATTTTTCACTAATTTCTAACTTTTTATAGGATAAGATAATCCGCCTTTATTGATCCAAAGAGGATAAATTCTGTTAATAAGCACACATAAATAGAGAAATTTAAAAATAAATAAAAGGAGGTGTATAAAACTAAAATAAGAATAGTTAGTAAGTAAAACTAGAAAGCCTAAGAGACCAATTATAGACCAATTGATTAAACGAGAAACTAATGGGGACTAAATAATCGTTAGTTGCAGCTCTAGTAGTTTGAGTCCCATATTTTGCATTGATCTTTTTCTCGTTAAAAAGTCCACAGGATTTTATTATTTGGCAGAGTGGGCTTCTGAGACATGATTCACACGCCAGGACACAAAAACCCTCCCCTGAAACCTGAGTGATATTAATCCTAATCAGTAATTACAGCATACTCCAGAGTAAAATGTTGCATTAGAGTATATTCAAGCTGTAGCGCTGATTAATTACATAATAAACATGTAAAATGAATATCAAACTGTGTACTATCCGATACGTGCAAGTCGAGGTGCTGTTTCTTTCTTCCTCACATTGGTGACTTTAGTTAAACAACTCCAGGTTTATTGGTTGCTTAGTTAAATCTTTTGTTTGGTCCAATAACCACCACACATTTTCTTCTACTTCATCCTCTGATTGTGAATTAAAAGCTAGATTTATGCCGTTTCACCCATGTTATAATAGTTATTTGCGGATTGTTATTTCTATCTAAGTTGTATCGTATGTGTTCTTTTTCTGTCCACTAAGAACTTAAGTCACCAGCAGCTGTCACTTTATTTTTTTAAATAACTGCAGCAGATGGTTCATTTTGGAGGAGATTTTTCAGTTGATTGTTTTTCCTTTATTAATAATTTAGCCGGAATGAATCATCGGTACAGTCACCAGGCGAAGCTCACTGACCTAAATTGAAGTCATCCTGAGTGGGCAGGTGACCAGCGCAGGTGTGGTACGGCAGCAGGCGTCTGACAGCGTCCTTCAGTGTGGAAAAGGCCGGGCCGGTGAAGGGGGACTGAACGGCTCCGTGGTCCAAACAAATCTGCTGCTGGAACCTGAAGAACACGATGAAAACTCTGTGTTAGACCGAGCTGCTGCACACAACAACCTGGAGACTGATAAAGTAATAATTCAATGTACCCTCAATTACAGACCGCTGTAACTCATATGTTTCTTATAGACATTAGCATGGTCTGTTACATGTCAGTACGTTAGTATGAAAGTAAGATGCATAGAAAAAACTGCAGCAAGTGGTAATATATCAGTAGTAGTGCTACTAAAAGCAGTACTTGTTTGGTAGTAAGTAGTAGCAGAAATGACAGATTTTTTGCCCTTTTTATATTAAAATTAAATATGTTTATTTTCACTTTACACAACAATTTACAAAATGTGGCCATAACAGATTATTAAATACATTTCCATTTTTTAAACACAATATTTTTTTAGATGTTAGCAAAATGAATGTCTTAAATTTGACACCAAACTGAGCTGGCAAGGCTTTTTTTTTCTTTCAACTGCCCCTCTAGATCCGCCCCTGCTTGCAGTATCGGATGCAGTTGGAGACTAGTTGTTATAAATGTACAGGTAGTAGTAGTGGCTATAGTAGCAACAGCAGTAGCAGTAGTTGTTGTTGTAGATGTATTGGTAAATAGCAGCAGTAAAAACAGTAAAAGAAGCCCCGAGGACTCAGATTAAAAACATTACTGAAGGATCAGACTTAATCCACGTCTGTAAAACCACCAACTGTTAATAAATTAACTGGCTGATTATTACTGAGGTAAGAAAGCTTCTTTACAGTATATCACATCCAGTTCTCAATAAGCCATCGAGTTGTTGAAGAGACAAAGGTCAGCTTTGGGCTCATAGTTATGGAATTCCTAAAGGTAAAGTTTTGGCCTCTACATTTATTCTTTTTCAGAAAATGTATTACATTTCTTTTGATTTACAAGGTCTCTTAAATTAAGAAAATCACCAGAGGTCTCTTAAACTGGTTGAAGTAGCCTGTTACAGTCCTATATGGATGTGGTACAGAGACAGATTAATACACACTTTCTGAGACGGCTTTTGAACGATCGTAAACTATTTTCACTGTTTATGAAATTATGAAATAAATTCGATGCATAAAACGAGCTGATGTGTGTCTGCGAAGGATTATTTCTGCCTAACCTATTGTGGTGGTTTTCTATTTTATGCTTTAATCCGACATTACAGTCTGAGCCGGTGTTGTCTTACCTGTGCCTGCGCATTGCTGGTGTGAGCCTCTCCTCTCTCTGCTGCTCCAGAGGACCTGCCAGCTGGCAGCCAAACAACATTTTGGATGAGATCAAAGGATGCAGACAGGGGTGCATTTTGAAGTCATTAATAATATGTTTGCTGCATTTCACAAATAATCATTTCAAAGCCTGCCATCACTGTTTCGAGACCCGAGCCAATTCAGTTTATCCACAGAGGAAATGATTTTGACTCATTACACAAATTTGTTGTTCTCCGTGTAAAACAAAATACACAGTTACATAATGTAATTAGAGCTCAAACAAGTAGTCAATTAATAAGTATGTGGGTTGACAGGAAATTCATCAGCAACTCTGATAATCATTGTACGCTTTTAGATAAACTGTACCGGTTTCAGCTTCTAAAATGTGAATATTTGCTGGTTTTCCTAATTGAGTGTTAGAGCTGTATGTGTTCCTGCACTGTTCGTCCCGTTTCCTCTCTGTCCTCTGAGCTCTGCCCAGGTGTGGCACATATGATTGCTCGATGAGGTACAGCTGGCCTCAGAGTGAAGTGCTTAAAAGCTCCTGTGCCACCGTCTGAAGAGAGAGGCTTCTGGAGAGGGGACTGCGGTCTCGCTGTCTCTTTGTGTTGCTGTTGTGGTTTGACTTTGTTGTTTATGTGTCTTTATGTTAATAAATCCCATAGATTTGGTTGTTTTAAAGGTGTCTTTCTGTGGTTGATTTGAGTCAGTGGTTGGGCCAAGTTCTGCCCAAGGCTGGGGTGTAACATTGAGTATGATAGTAAATTTAATATCTAACCAGATAGAGCGCAGGGTGAGTGACACAAACACAAAGTGGACACTTTCTTTTTAAACTTGACCCTCATTTTGATTTCAGCTACACACCTGTACAGTTTCATGTCTGCATCATGCACAATACTGATACTGCTGCATTGACAAACATACATATAAACGCCTGGCAAAGTTCTCCAGGACCTTTGCCACCCACAGACATTTTTAAATATGTCACCTATTATTATAATATGACATTTTCAGATATTTTATCATTTGATTGGTAAAATAATTTTACCAATAAAAAAAAGATTAACTGATAATAAAAAAGGATAATAGATGCAGCCATAAATATATATAATATAATGAAGGAATATATAATGACTTTTGGATTAGCAGTATTTAACAAATCACATAAGAAAACATACAGTATACAGTACAGTATATAAATGATTGGACTTAAATAAATATACAAATGGATGTTTTTGTCACCTTGGTGCCGGTCTGCTGGCTCGTCTGGATGGGGGCGCACTCTCTGGGAGCTGGAGGCCCGTGAGCCTGGACACCCTGGGCTGCAGGAGAGGGTGGATGGACATCGAGAGTAAACGCTTTACTCTCCACGACCAAGGCAGCTGTTGGCTCTGAAAATGGACAATGATGAGAGAGGTGATGATGATGATTATATTGCAGATCATAATAATTATGACAGTGGTGGTGAGGGTTAAGAGCGATGATGAAGTGGGGACAGTGATAATGGTTAGAATAATTTGCTTCATTTGAATTGAAACTCACTGTTTTGTGTGTGCTGTTGGACAGCAGAGTCGTCTCCTCCTTTGGAGAGACTAGCAGCTGTGGGATCAGGCTGCTGCTGAGGCACAGAGACGCTGACACGCAGAGGGGAGCTGTGGACCGACGTGCTGACCGAGGACTGAGGCTGGGAAACAGACGACTGGACCTGGAGATGGGGAGCCAAGGCCTGGACCTGCGGCTGAGGCTGGGAAACAGGCGACTGGATCTGTACCTGGTTCTGGGCAAATAAGGCCTGTGAGACCTGGAGCTGAGGAGGGACCTGGTACTGGACTTGGGGCTCGATGCAAGGCTGGGGAGCTGTGATTTGGGGGACTGAACTCTCAGGTCCAGGCAGAGTGATGTGAGGCCCAGTCGGAGGGGAGAAACTTGTCGGAGCTGGTCTCTCTGCGTCCTGAATGGGAGGGGAGGAGCAGATCAGTGGTGTGTCCTCTGGGTCGGAGTGAAGCGGAGAAGCGTCAACACACTGGTCGGACATCCCGGTGCGGGTGTCCTGACCAGTGACTGCGTGGGTCGTCGGCTGGGTCTCTCTCTCACGGGCGACCGGGGAGGGCAGCGACTCCATCGGCACCACTGGCAGCGCTCCAACCAACAGTTCAGACGTGATAGGAGAACTAAGTGCTTGCTGTGGGGGAAATGATGGAGAGAGAATATGAACAACTGCTGTTAGATCTTAAATAGGACGCAGTCAGCTAATCGTTGCATGCTCCTGTTTTTCTCTGCCTGTTCACTGATTCATTTTCTCTACTGCAGTTTAATCTCCTTTATTAAATTTGGGAGAACATACAGCATGATCGCACTGTAACTGCACTGCAACACTTTGTTTAACTTTATTCCACTTTAACCAATTTTCTTTTCCTCTTTATTGCATTTTAAAATGGTGTTCTAAGGCCATCTGTACAGCACTCTGCATCGACTCTTGAGTAACATCCACAGCAACATTTCTCATTAGTGGCTGGCAAACATTACATAGGCATATATGAATGTAGAATTTCACAGCTTAAATATCTCTATTCAAACGATATTTCACCCTTAAAATGTTTATTGTAGTTAACTGTGTTTCACTCTCATGTCTTGTGAAGCTTTTGTTTACTACATTAATCACTGTGTTGTACTTCATAAGGGGACTTCATGCTGTCCTTTCACTGTTCTTCTGTCATTCCAGCTGTTTTTGTTGCTGTAGTAATTCAGTTTTTACACCTGGTAACATCTTTTTCTATCACTACCATTGAATTTGTTGGGGTTTTTCCAATACCGTTTTCTCAGTTGTTTCCAGTAACAACTTTAAAGAGTATCTTTTGTCCTAAACCTTTATTGGAAGTGTGTTTAACTCTGCTGCATAGCTGTGCAACTACACACATAGCAAGGGCAGCAGAGGGATCATATCCTCATAATATGATTCCACTGAAAGTTAATAAACAATAATATTGATTACTATTACTAACACTATTAGAAACACAAACATCGGTACATAAATGTTGGGCTCTGACCTGTTGCAGATGTTGCATAAAGGCCTCGTTCTGACTCATCGAGTGGGTCACCTCCTCCACTACTTGGGTCATGTCTGCCGGGGGCATCAAAAGTTTCGGGATCTCCACAGCTGGATCGGGGACCAGAGGTGGTTCAGGAGGAGGCTGCAGGACTGTAACTACAGGAGGAGAGGAGGACTGCAGCCCTGCAGAGGTGGGCTGCACCGACACATGCTGGAGAACATGTCCATAGGGCTACAGCGGGAGAAAAAGAGACATCAGAGCGAGTTCAAGTTGAATTCGGCAGAAGTATATTTGCACGTTTTAGCCATTTAACTACAAATCCAGTATATTCTTCAATTTCCTGATCATTTGCAAATGCATGCTGTACAGTTTTAGATATTTGGCAGATTGTTCTAGCATAACAGAGATCCTCTGGTTTTCATTCATTTTCATGAGAGTATAAAAATAACTTACTGACACTGTAGTACGATGTAGTATCACACTAACACTGACTCCACAGTAAAACTGAGGCTGCAAAGGCTGCAGTGATATACTTTCAGTTCCTTGTATGGGTAAAGCTTTAGTAGATCCTACACTTAATCTTTCCATTAAACTCTTTCTCACTGGTAGAAACTTCATGTTCACAGTTTGTAACACAAACTTACTGTTAAATATTTTTCTCAGAGCCCAAGCCCAAATAGCTCTAGTGACATCATTAGGGTTATTTATTTTAAATTCTCTCTCTCTTTCCCTCTAGAGCCACAGTCCAACTGTTTTAACAGGCTGAGTAGTACTCCTTGTGATGAGTAAACTGAAGTGGAGGATTGAAGCGCCCCTTTAAAACGTCTGCACTGTGTGATCTTACTACAATAATGTAATACTGACAGAAATGAATGTAGCCTTCATGGCCCCATCATTTTAATGGATTTCACCTTCCAAGCAAATTTCATGAGTCTGGTAACCATGGAAACCAATGTATACCTGCAACAAACAACTAAAACACAGCAGCACTGTTTGCTATCACAGTGCTCAATAACATATAGTGTAATAGAGGATTTGATCCTTAAAGCCAGCTGAGACAGAGGTGGTAGCTCACCTGCGGTAGCTGGTGGAAAGTCTCCTCTGAGCTGGTCCTCTCCTCTTGAATGGCTCTTTCTGGCAGCAGCACCACAGAGGCCTGCTGGAGGCTCAGCTGTCCTTCTGTCACTCCTGTCTGAGGAGCCGGGGCTTGAGTAGCAAAAGGCAGCCCTTGAACTACTGAGGGGCCATTAACAATAGAGATGGAAGTGAGATCTGAGGGAAGCACCCCTGAACTGTTGATCAACGTAATGTGGTTTCCAAGAGCGGGACTGTGGACCAGGGTGGCACGCTGCCCCTGTCCCCCTGGAGTGTATGCTCCAGCCAGCTGAGCTGGCATCTGGAAGACAGTAGGGGGCGCTGACTGTAGATGCAAAGGTCCTGAAAGCACAGTGGCCTGGCGGAGCGCTAGCTGCCCTGTAGGGGTGGTGAAGACAGGGCTGAAGTTCAGCTGTCTCTGGGGCACAGTTAGGATCTGAGAGCCGTCTACAAGCTGCCCAGTAGAGGGAGTCAGGCTGTGGACTGACGGGCCTTGGTGGCTGGTGGTCAGCAGCGGTCGAGCTGCACTGGGAGGCTGGGAGATCGTAACAGGGCACTGGCCTGGAAGAAGGAACTGGTTTTGGCCTTGGAAGAGTCCCTGAGGCTGGAGCACAAAGGAGCCGCCCTGGTTGACCAGCTGCAGGCTGACAGGTTTGTGGAGCTGCTGGTTGGGCTGCGGTGGTGGAGCTGCGGGCTTTTGGCCTGGAGGTTGGGAGAGTAAAATATTTGGTGAGGCAGTCCCAGGAACAAATGTAAGACCTGGAGCGTGTTTTTGTCCGGAAGGTTTGGGGCTAATTTGAACCAGTCTGGGCTGAATGCTGATAGGCAGCTTGGGTTGGATGGGAAGAGGGGCACGCTGCAGGACGATGCCCGGTGCTGCTGCTGCTGCTGTTGTTCTCAGGGTTGGGGTGATAAGAGGACGACTGGTCATACTGGGAACAGCCTTGTGGATGATCATACTCGATCCTTGGGCAGGACTCAGAGAGAAGGAGGTCTCTGGAGACGCAGCAGGGAACACATTTCCAGGCAGGAGCCCCATCAACTGAGGAGGGGCAGCAGGTTTTAGAGAAGGGCAGCCCGGCCCGACAGCCAGGAGGGAGGGCTGGGGAGGCTCCACTGCTGCCTGTGTATCTCTGGGCAACACCGGGGTGACGGGTAAGGTCACAGATTTGGGTATGAATGGTACGGTGGGTGGAGACAGGAGAGGGGCAGGTGAGTAAAGGGACAGGCTGTCCCCCGTTTGGGCCAGACCTGCCTCCAGAGCCATGGTCTGCTCTGTGATCTCAGCCTCCTGCAGGCTCTGCTGGAGGATATCACATGCCACCTCTGCCTCCTCCGCTTCCTCCAGTTCTCCCTTCTTAACCTCAAATCCAGCCTCCACGGGTGTCCCACCCTGCACCACCTGTGGGTCTTCCCCACCCTCCGGCGATGACAGGAGGGCCTCCTCCAGGAAGGACAGATCCACACACCCAGGCGGAGGTGTGTCTGGAGAATCCCTGCCATCTCCCAGCAGAGAGACGGGGCTCTGGAGGAAGAAACAGTGGGAGACAGACAGAGAGGTACAGACAACAGGATCGTGGAGAGAGAGTGAAAAGGAGGAGAGAATTGTGTGATTAGCAGGAGCAGTTTCAGGCACAGAAGGAGAGAAAAAAAAATATCATTCTCTTGGGGAAAATGCTGGTTGTTTTTGACGCTTCTGGCTGTGGATCCAGACACTCACCGGGGCATCTGTGAAGAGGGAGGGCTCCCCAGAGGAGGAGTTAATGAGCAGGTCTTCAGTCTGCAGCTGGTGGGATAAAATCAGACGATTTTAGGTTGGGCTGGCAAAGTCGTGGTGAGAAATGCACGTAGTATTACATTACGACTCTCTATCACACTGTCAGCCCTCCTCCACACATCTCGCACGACCGTGTGCCAAGAAATATTCCCATTTCGGATTTATCATTTGCACTATTGATTTTCTTATTTGAGTCCCTCTCTATTTAAGACTCTTTTGTTACCTCATTGGTCCCATGAAGGAAGTCGTTCAGGGCTTGGGGGTCACTGCGGAGACGGAGGGAGAGTGCGGAGGTTAAAAATCACAATCAAAATGAATCCAAAGTTGGTGAACATTTAATGCAAACCAAACATTTTTCACATGATAATAAAAGTGCCAGTTTAAGGACATTCAATCACATTAAATCTTATATAGCAAGCAATGAAAAAGCCCTGCCTAGTTTCATATATTGCTTGTTTCTGATCATCTACAGGATCATTTCTATGCTATTGGATCCAAGTAAGACTTGACTCACCACAAAACATCAAGTAGACAAGTCCCATCTTCATCCTCCATGTCAACTAAGATGAAGAAGAGGAGAAACACAATGTGATCAACATCTAAATTACAGGGATGAAGAATCAACCAGTGAGTGCATTAAACACATTTTTATGTGTTATTATGGTTTAAACTTATGATTATTTTATAATCTATTAATTTCTACATGATTTTTTACGTAGGAGTTCTTACAGATGGCGGTTTAAACTCTCAGAATCAAATCAACAACAAGGTCACAATTCACCATCTGAGAGATATCTAAAAAATAAGGAGGTTTTCTGTCCTAATCATACAAGCCTCTGTCATGAGTAGGCTGCACATAATCACAATCTTCTATTTTAGGATCTTCTTCCTGCTAAAAATCACACGTAGCTCATTCAGAAAGCTGCTCCTACGTTTCGTAACCAGGACGAGAAAAAAATCCTCGCTCTTGTCGTCAGAAACCTCCACCGACCAACTGTCTGAGTTTAAGATCCTCCTGTTGGTGTACGAAGCTCCTCATGGCCTCCACAGCACACGTCGGACTTTATCCGAGTTCACAAACCTCTTAAATCCCAAGAAATCAGTCTTCATTTTCTTTCACTTAGAAGCAACTTAAAGACCTTTTTATCTGGTTAAGAATTCCTCCTTAAGCAATCTCCTTGTGACTTACAATTGATCAGGTTTGTACAATATACACTGTTATTTCTGTTTTATTATCCTGTAAAGCATCCTTAACTGCTTTTGTTTGAAGTTGTGCACATTAATCGATTGTTTGACCAATAATAAGGCAGTAAATTGTGGAAGATGCCCATCAGAAATTCCCAGAGCCCAGGCGGACATCTCTAAGATGCTTTTTGTGTCTGACCATCTGTCCAAAATCCAAAGAAATTCAGTTTACAAGGATATAAAACTGAGAGAAGTGAGAGATATTTGAGAGGCTGGAAACAGCAACCATTGACTTAGATGACTGATTGTCAAATAAGCGTTTGATTTATGGATCAATTGCTTTAACTGTTGTCCAAACCAGTGCTTCCAGACCTTTAGGGACCCTTAAAATAAGGTAATTTCTACCTGTGAGCCCTTATCGCTGCTATGTGGGCCTCAGTGTTGGACATGAGTTGTTAGAAGTTCAACCAAAGAGTCTCTCAGATTGTTTCACTTCAAGGAGGCCAGAAGAGGTGAAAGTATACAGTATTATTTTGTATAACCACTCAAATGTAGGGGCTCCAGAACCAGAGGATGGAAATATCTTTCAAAAGATATAAGACGATGGAGCAAATGGTCCACTATCATCCAGCCACACTACACAGCCTGGACTCCTCATGAGTCTCATTCTTGTGCCCACAGAAGGAGACAGACCACAATATGAACCTACTTCATATGTGAGAGGCCCCATACAGAGCGGTCGAGCTGAGTTCTGGTGGTGGCCTCATGGGAAGTCGTGGCCGGGCTTCAGTGTCTGGAGACGGAGGGATGCCAGGCCGAGGCGGCGGGACGGAGCCGGGTCCTCCCTCTGCTGGGGCATCGCTGCGTCCTCACGGTGCGAGAAGCCGGGTCCGGTGGAGAGGCTGGATAAGAGGGGGAGGTTTTTTGGGGGTGGGGGGGGAATACATAAACACACCACCACATGCTGTCAGGTCACTTGAGGTTACCACCAGCCAAAACACATTCTCGTCTCGGCGGTGAGACACAAGATCAATATCTGATTCATCAGTTTCTCCTCAGCTTGTGGGCAGCGCTGGTGTGAGTCTGTTGCAGACATCTGGGGGGTGAGGAAGGAGGGAGGGAGGAGGGGAGGGAAGGAGGGGATCTGGTGGGAGAGACTGGACCAAAATCTTTACCAATAATAGCATCACATTTGTGGACTGTATTGATCATGCCCGAGGCTGATAATAAAATAAAGAAAATATAGAAGCTATTGTTGTGGCTATCACACAGACAGGAGAGGCGAATGTGAACGCCTCAGCTGTAAATAGACGGCTCCCCCTGCGCCTCGGATGTGACTTGTCCTCTCTTCCTCATGGCTGGAAGAAAAGAAAAAAAAGAAGCAATGTGGAAAAGCTCGGCACAGTGCAAGCCAATTATAACATTACTCACTGCCTTGCGCTCAATTTCCCGGGGAGGTCCTTTAAAAAAAAAGAAAAGAAAACACACATAAGACAAACCTCCCTCTCTCTCTCTCTCTCCGGTCCCGCTGACATATTTTTTGTTTACAACGCGACAACCGCATTAACACCCTCAAGGTACCGCATCGCCCAATGAAATCCAGGCAAACGACCCCCTCATCTAAACCTGCAGCGGCAAGTGCATGCTATTCTCCGGCAATAACAGGACCAGGCTCCAGTGATGCATTTATAGGTTACGTAAGGTGAATGTGTGCTCATGGTTGAAAATGAAAATGTCCCAAAACGATGAAGGATGCAGGAGCTCCCCCCCCCCGCACCCCACCGACCCCCCCACACACCCCAGCTGCTCGCTTCCTTTTTTCTGATTTCTTGTTTTTATTTATTTTTTATTTATTTATTTATTTATTTCCCTCCTCTTCCCAGAGTGGGACCACGGCAGCTGCTGTAAATCATATCGCGGTAACAAAAGATGCCTTGTGTTGAATATCATCTCCACACAGCCAGCCCCGAGCGATTCCCTTATCGTTGTGCCATTAGAGTAATTCCGCAATTCACAAAAAAAAAAAACACAACCAAAGAGGAGGAGAGGAGAAAAAAAACTCACCCCTTCTTTGTGGTTTATTGTCCTGTCAAGCGGGCCTCTGCGCCATCGATTCTCACTCAGTGGTCTTTTCAGATGCTAAAAGGAGGAGAGGGGGTGGTGGTGGAGGGGGTGGTGGATGGGGTAGGGTAGGGTGGGATGGAGGTGGGTATGAGGAGGAGGAGGAGGAGGAGGAAGAAGAGGAGGAGGGGGGGTACCGGGCTGGGTGTGAGAAACAGACTGGGAGAGCCGATCACAACACAAAAGGTGGAGGAGAGGGGGGAAAAAGAAAAACTGCGAGGATCCAGAATCAGCGGCTGCAGGAGAGGAGACTGGCCGCCTCCTGCGCTCCACCAGGCGGCAGACACTTCACATGTCCCCCGTGCTTCACTCTGGAGCTCTTTCATCCCCCGTTACAGATGTTTTTCGTACAGTTTATTGATTTCCTTGTTTTGTTTTTTTTTCTAATCCCCTTAAGTCCATAAAACTGTAAATACTTTCCCGGGGAGAGATGATATAAAAAAAAAATCTATATTTCGAGACGCGCTAATTTGCCACTGTATTGTGCCAAAAGCAGGAAATCACCCATGTGTGCAAGACTGTAAAGCAAATTGTCATTCCTAGTAGCACTTTTCCACCTTCAGCATCAAACTGTTACAGAGGGGGAAAAAAGAAGAGAAAGACAAAGAAAGGAGGAATAAAACAATAAAAGGGGAAGAGAATTAACTTTTTAAATAATAATCCCACAAATCTCACCTAAATCGAAAAAATCTATATTTCCAGATTAGTTTATTTGCCACATTTTGAGCGATAACTGGGGAAATCCTCATGTGCATTACTGTAAAGCAAATTATAACCCTTAGAAAGACTTTTTATAGTAAACATACTGTTCAAGAGGGAGAAAAGATGAAGGATGTACAAAATGAAGGAAAAAAAATAAAGTCAGGAGAATACACAAGAAGGGAAATATAATATTTAGGTCCATTTAAAAGCTCAGGAAAGTACTTTATCCAGGCGTGTTATAAAAACATTGCTTATTTGTCACTGTGCTGAGTGAAAACTGCAAACTGACGTCAGTGAAAGCTAAAATAGAAACATGTCCTTTTTATTTTTACTCTCATTCCCACCAGGCAAAATTGTAGATTTTGTTCCAAAGCACAGATAAAAGAACAACATAATATTTTGAGATGGCTTGTTTGCCTCAGTATGGAGTGAAAAAGGAGGGAATTACCACATGCACTACAGCAAAGTGACACCCCCATTATCACATATCTGCAGGCTCATTGCCCAACAGGAAGAGTGAAGGATAAAGTTTTAAAAAAGGAGAACAGAGAAATAAGCTACAAGAGTAAAGAAAGGAAACTGAAAATGTCTTTTAGGTCCACCTAGTTTAAAAGTCCAGGAAACTAATTATTTTTCAGAGGGAGAGGACTTTTATTTGAAAGAACTAAATAGATTAAAGTACATGTCATTACCAAAAAGTGGAAGTTACCATGTGAGCTACTGTAAACTGATGTTTAAGTCACACTTTTTTCAAACTGTTCAAGACAGAAAACGAGTGAAAGAGTGAAAGAACAGGAAATATGAAAACAGAAAAGCAGAAAAAGGAAACCAATGAAAGGACGGAAAAAAGAAAGAACAAGTAGACAAAACAAGACACAAGGAGAGAAAACAAACTCTTCAGAAACTTGTATTATTGAAAGGAAATGTTTATTAATAAGTCAAACATTACAATACAAAACACACCACCCCTCCATGAGAAAAAAAAAAAAAACGTTAAAAACTTTGTCAAAATCTTCTCAAAACAGCTTAATCAAAATGGTTCGAACACAAGTTAAAGATAAGAAAAATGATATTGATCCCCCCCCCCCCCCACCCATCACCCTGCGCCTCCTCAGGGGCTTCACTTTGCTGCCTGCTGGGCCTGACGGCGAAGCAGCACGTAGATCTTCTCTTTGATCCAGTCCTTGTTGTACGGCTGGTACGTCTGTGTGTCGGCGCGATACCTGAAGCGGCACCAAAAACTACATTCAGGTTCAAATGTTCTCTCAGGCTTCTTTCTTTTGTAATTTGCACACAGAATAGTAATTCACTGTAGGTCAGGCAACACTTTCTCTTTGAGGAAATAATCGACTGAGACACTTTCCTTCTCCCGTTCTCTGTTTGCGTGCCCTTTTCCTTAAGGTAAGGTGAGTCAAGTTCAGCTACTGGGAGCAACAAAAGCACCATGGCTGTGCTCAAGGGCACTCCAGCAGAGTGGTTGTTTGTATACACGGGGGCTTGAACCTCCCACTTGAGTCGCCCAAAAAAAAAAAATTTTTTAAAAATGCTAAATTGAATTGATGAATTGAGGGAGCTTCAGGCAGAGCAAGTTTCATCTGCTCTTACAGCATATTTGCAGCAATGTGGGTTTGTTGTACATCTTCTATATATATATATATATATATATATATATATATATATATATATATATATATATATATATATATATATATATATATATATATATATAAGAAGATGTACAACAAACCTTTGTGACAATAAAAATGGGACCCCCTTAAAAAATGAATTATACAATAAGGGCTTTATCCTAATGCACGCATGTCAACTCAAAATGTCTGTCAGAAAACGCAGAAGAGGTCTTTGTATGGTTGCTTCATGAAGAAGTATTAAGGTTGTGCTGTATCATAATTTTCACTGACAAAAACTATGAAAACATGAAATGTTTTGTGGTCTGTACCAAACAAATGTGTATTCTTCCATCTGGAGAACAGGATTTGTAGGTCAGGGCGTCTCTGCAGCACTACAGTACTTCATTATAATACTGTTGTGCCACACGTTTGGAAAAACTGCAGCTTCTGTGATTTGGATATTGCACCATACTGCCATAATATGTCGATTAATTGTGCAGCCCTACTCTATATGCCAATTACAGATTCCCACCATCTTGTGGTTTGAGTGGATTCTGGCTATTTCCCAAACTGGCCAACAGCTCAGGAGTAACTCCACGTGAAGTCACACTCACAGCTTTGGAGGCACTTCTAGAGGGAGGCCGTAAATAAACAGGTAAACTGTGGGACGCACGCAGCCGTTACCGTGGATACTGATAAACACGCAGCTCACTTTGCTGTCATGTGTCATTTCCCTGCAACCACCTCAAACAGTGTAGGTTTTATATATATATATATATATTTTAGTTATGCATGCATCTAAAATATTTTTCTGATTTTAGTAGTTTAGTAGGACAGTGGAACAAAGATTAGTCCTATATTCATAGATTTAATTTAGTATAGAGATCTCACTTTTCATTTTACAGCACGTCTGCTCCTTTTTAAGAGTACTCGATGACTGTGAAATTCATTTCCACTCCTCACTCACTCACTAACCCTAACCGGTTTGGGACGGCACTCAGCGTAGTGAATCCTCCATATGGAAGTGCAAACAGAAGGCTAGGTATTTGTACTATACTTACTTGCAGAGTGCAACCAAAGTGATCAGATCGAGAGTCGCCTCTTGACACTAAATGTTTCAACATACATAAAATATGAGTTTGTTTCCTCGTCAAACTTACACCAAACAGCTGAGGTCAGCCAGGTCATCGATGAAGTCAAACAGCTGGCTGATGTCGTACGTTATGGACGGACTGTTGGGATTCATTCTCTTTAAATGTTCCTCGTACATCTTACACACACCTGCGCAGGAGACAGACACACACACACAATCATCTACATGAGTTGGAGAAAAAAAACAAAAAGACAAATACAATGCAAAAGAAAGACATTATACTTATACTTGCACTGTATATTGTCAACTAAATGTCTGACAAATATAGTTATAACCATATTTCCCACTAGATTATGGTCTAATCATATCAAAATAAACATTATTTGGGTTTTCAACTTAAGAATCTATAATGGGTATAACAAATAATTACATCTCTAGGTGTTTCCTATCATTTTTTCTGCGATTTGGTAACTCTCTGAGTTTCTGTCTGGGTTAATCTTTCATGTTACATGTGCTTTACAGCTAATTCTACAGCGAGACACCAATATCTTTCAAATACTACCATGTTCGCAATATTTGTTTAAAATAACTGTTATTGTTATGTACTTTATAAGTGTAGCTGTCTTACCCAGACCAACAGCACACACGTCAACAGTGAATATAAACAGATACAACTTATATATTTACCGATGCAGACTCAAATTAGATTTAATTTTTTAAAATGGAAATGTCCCCAGATTCAACTCAATAACACTGCCATCGTGACTTTTACCCCATGGGGCCTTTTTGCCATCACATTTAAACAAAGTCCCGGAGGATGCGGGGGAGAACAGCTACAGGTAAGCGAAAGAGGAGTGGAAATGTCTTCGCATGTCGCTGTAGGAGTGTACCAGTACGTCATTACAACAGGGCACAAACACATCATCGGCTTACCTTCCATACACTCGTTCACAGACTCATAATCGGCGTATGTCCTTCCCTCTGGCCTCTTGGTGGGCTGCACCAGCAGGATGGTGTGGGACTGAAAAACCAGACACGTGTTGTTAAGATTGTGGTTTGAATATTCAGTTCGATGTCTGAAGCAGATAGATAGATACTTCATTTATCCCGAGATGTGCAGCCTTGCTTTTGTGTCGTTAATATTGTTTTTGAACTGAATAAGTTGAGGTTTTTACAGGCTTTAACTCATTTTAAAGACATTGCTTTGAGCTCTGATATTTAACTAATGATGGAGGGGGGGGGGAAGAAACATGATGTTTGAGGTCTTACAGAGGAATAATAGTCAAGAGGAGTCCAATTTATTAGTGAAATGTGGTCCTGTTAACACGTCTGTTTGTGTACGACAATAGTATGCAGCCATTAAACACACACAAACTGTATTTTCCGACATATTTTGTGATTTAAGACTCAAAGACAGAGCACACACCTGAGCCTACAGCTGACTCTTCAGGTGCATTAGCTTCGTTAGACAACACTGACTTTAAGCGTCGGGAAAGCACTGCTGACTGAGGAGCTGGTTAGGCAGTAAATCTGCGCTGTATTTGTCCCGAGTCAGTCAGAGAGCTTCACTGCAGCTGCTCAAGTACCTTCCTCCTCCTCCTCCTCCTCCTCCTCCTCCTCTTCCTCCACATGCTAACGTTAGCACAGAAGCCTGCAGCCTCATTAAAACACCTTGTTTTTTTTTACTGAAATGTGACACACTGCGTTGCCTAGTGACTGTCTACCTTCAAACACAAACACATACACTCGGATTATTGTAACACGACGTACTAACCATGTTTTTAAGGAGGTTTTTTTTTTTTTTTTTTCCTGGATCCTTGCCTCTTCTCGAAGCTCTGACGAGTCGACCTTTGACACCGGAAGAAGAACTCGACAACGCCTCCGCTGTTTTAGCGTCTAACGGTTCTGGTGTGTCGTTAATTTTAGTCTGATGTTGGTGTTTTTTTAAAAATAAAAACAAAAACTAACATTTGCTGGACAGAAATAAAAACAATGAAAAAAATGAATTATATTATTATAGCGTAAAAAAAAAAAATAAATAAAA